TAACAGTAGTGGCATGAGAGTGCGTTATCTCTCCCTCAGCATCGCGCCCACGACCGTCCATGCGGGGTTCAACAAGGCTGCATACTACTTCCGCATGAAGCTGACGCTCATTCCCGTCGACCCACAGACAATGACCGTCGACGTACGCAAGATGAGACGCGCGATTGGGCGCAACACGTGCATGGTGAGCACTCTTCGAATTTAGCCGGGCGTCCGACGGCGGAGACGCGAAGAAATCTCGGCGGGCATGTAAACGTTGCGAGCTCACTTGCCCGGCGGGCTCCTGATTTAAAAACGCAGAACATATAATGAAACTGGCCATTAACTAATGGTTTTTCATTTAAAATCGCGAAATGTTAACATCGGAAACGAACGGCGTCTAGAAGTTGTTTGGTGTATGCTTCTTAACTGCTAAAAATATTCCTGCAAAGTATATGGGCAACTAGAATGTCATTCGGGCATAGGCATGTTACAGAACACTTGCCCGAAGGGCGCGTGGCTCAAAATTTTTCAGGAAGACTAAGTGAGTAGCATCCGGCGACACCTGGTGGGAGATAAGGCAAGCGATCGGTCGCGATAGAAATCGTGTACTTCTACAATGACTACATACTGTTTTGCTGCTCATTGCAGTTGGTTGGGTCGGCGCCACCGTTTCCCCATGGTGTCATGGATCCAATAGAGGACATAGCTGAGGTAAGGCTGCTCGGTTGCCGTGGTAACAAGCTCTTGCTGTTGGATTAAGAATGGTCATGCCGAACCCTGCTGTCGTGGTAGAGGGCGCTGATCATAGATTACTATTGTAGAGGGCGCTGATCATGGATTACTATTGTAGAGGGCGCTGATCATAGATTACTATTGTAGAGGGCGCTGATCATGGATTACTATTGTAGAGGGCGCTGATCATAGATTACTATTGTAGAGGGCGCTGATCATGGATTACTATTGTAGAGGGCGCTGATCATGGATTACTATTGTAGAGGGCGCTGATCATGGATTACTATTGTAGAGGGCGCCGATCATGGATTACTATTGTAGAGGGCGCTGACCATGGATTACTATTGTAGAGCAGGGT